AAAAAAAAAAAAAAAAAAAAAAAAACTTACCCAATAGACATTTTCTTACTAGGTTCCATCTTTTTGCCAATATCTTGAAAAAGTTCATCTGTTGTGATTAGGTCCAATCATATTGATGTTGATTCAAGATTTTTTCTTGATGAATCTTCTTCAGAGAGTGAGGCTTCCATTTCTGTGATGTTTTTCTCGCTCTGCCTATTGTCCCCCAATTGACTTATTAGGTTAAGCTTATTAAATTTATGCTTTATTCCTTATTTATTTCTAGCCATTAGATTGTGTTTTAATTAATTTATGATCCAAGGGTTGAAAAAAGAGTTGCTGGGGCTGCTGTTAATCACCCACAGCAGCCCCCCCGTACCCGAAAAGTTCACTATTGCTGTGCACGGAACACTTTCACAATCTTCCAAATCAACGAGAAAGTACGGAGTTATGGCTAAACGTCCTCTTCGTTGCTTCGCGACCACGCTTGTTTCTGGATTGTTCTTCTATGCACCAGGTAAAGCTACCGAAAGAAACAATCTACAGCTAGATTTTTCATATACCCGAGACTCTCTCTCTCTCTCTCTCTCTCTCTCTCTCTCTCTCTCTCTCTCTCGGTCGCTCGTTTTGGATTTGGGTTTACTGTGTAGTCTATACTCTGTACGTTGCTCGTGTTGTCGAAGCTTCGATTTTCGTTGCCAAGGGTCAAACGAAAGAGAATTTGAATTGCAGAGTCTGTGGAGGTGGTTGGGAAATTCTATCTAGTTCTTGGTTTAGAATTGCTTCTTCTCCTTGTGTTTCTTTTGCTCTCTTGTTTGTTTTAGGCTTGCTTGTTCTCTTGTTTGATTGCTAGTGTTGAGATCTTTGCCTTTTCATCTCTGTGGTTGTGTTATTTCGTTTGCTTTTGTTACTTCGTGTTTGCCTTTGCCTGCCTTCTTCGTTTCAGGTTCACCTTTTTCCTTGTTCCTTTGTTTTCGGTGTTTTAGGGTTAAGGAGTTATCAAATTTGGGGTCTATGAGGAAGCCATGGACCACAAGGTTTTGAATAAACTTCAAAACTTTGTCCAATCGGATAGGGAATAAAAATGATTTCAGTTATCCGACAATGATATCACCCTATGAATGAAAGAGCGTAAACTAAGCTTAATAGGGAAAATATGTGGTGAAAAGAAGGTAAATTTTGGCTACTTGAAGACCACTATGGGTGCAATTTCGGTTATAAAGCAACAATTTCGGTCCTGGGCCCAAATATGTTCCAGTTCATATTCCAGATCCTAGACGATTTTCCCATTTTGCTTAGAGCATCCCCATTGGTGTCTTTCACTACCATTTAAATGGAATTTGGGGCCATTAATACTAATGTGATTCATTCTTTTAAATAAAAAAAACCGAGGACCCCGCAAAATGGCATTTGATTGAGTAATGGCTCCACATACAATATATTTTGTATTTAAATGAATTAACAAATGTGGATGTGTTTTTAAATAGAGAGATGTTTAGTTGAATGATGATGTAGACCTAATGTGAAAGAGAGAATGGGTAATTGATGTTTAAATGAAAGGCTATTTACATGTGCTAACCGTTTTCTAAATAATTGTATATATACGAGACATGCAAACAGTTTAGCATTAGTACAAAATATTGTGCAAATAATTAAAAAAGAGTATAAAATCAGCTTAACAAAATAAAAACGGAGTATCCCTTGATTATCGTAACTGACTGCATTAAAAAATTAAAAAATAAATACTTTTATAAACATGAAAATACTGTTTTTATAGTCAATTAGGCAATAACAACTTTGCGAGATTTATGTTTGAGCGAGAACCTCGTCGTCGAGTTAAACCTTGCCGCTGGCGTCTTTGGGATGTAGAACGCGACCTTTGAGTCCGCCAAGCACACCCACAACCTCAGCAAGAAATCGAATCGATTGGGAGAAACCCCACCAGAGGTAAATCAGTTAATTGGAGTGAAATTGGTGAGGTTCTGCTGCCCGGTGTAGATTTTGCTGGTTGGGAAGGAATTGGAAAAAATGTAAGTGAGGACGGCGATGTTGCCATGCGGAATAATAATTGATGAAGTAACGATAAAAAATCGTCGATCTATGGTCGTGTTGCCGATCACCATCATGGAAATCTAAATCATTGATGGCATCACCTCTCCTTCCCAGCTTTGTCTTGTCATCTCATTTGAGATCCGTTGTTGAATATTTTCATTTATTTTATGTTGTTTACAACAGATGTTTATAATACGTATATTTTGTGGTACTTTATACCTTTTTCCATATCCACTTTTTTCTCGGAATACAGATTTATAATAGGTAGTCATGTGGTTGATAATAATTTATAATTACATATGTTACAGTTTGGTTTGGTATATAACACGGCTTACTAGTTATACAATAAGTGTTGTTCTAAACGTGTTTGTGTAAGGTATATAACATGGTCTACTGGATGTACAATAAACAACAATCCGTAGTATATATTTATAAGTTATAAATCTTCATTAAAAGATACACTTTTATTTTTTAAAAAAAAAAAATTACAGACTATTGTCTCTTATAAGCTTATATTTAGTTTATTTATAAATTATAACATGTTTATATTATCAAATCTCGTTACATGACTAAAAAATTATGTGCATATATCATCATAAACTATTAATTATCATTAAGTAAACATTGAAATCCAAAAAACTCATAAAATAAACCCTCAACTTCAGATTATAAATCCCCAAATTCACGTCCAAAACCATAGATATATACACTCAGAATCTTTGCACAGATACACAAAAGTCACATAAAATATACACTCGAGTTTCTCATAAGTCAAGCCAGCAACAAATCGGGACACACATATACATAAAATATACATTCGAATTTCTCGTAATTCAATCCAACGACACATCCACACATATACATAGAATATACATAAAATATACAATCGAGTTTCTCGTGATCCCAGCAAACGGTAAAACGGGACATCGACGGAATTTGGGAGCCGACAAGCGGAGACAACAGACCTGGACTATGAAGTCTTCTCTTAACCAATATGACAATATTCATGTGTCCAGATATTTGCTTTCATAATAGGTCATGTTTAACGTGTTGGACTGAAATATGCTAAAATGTTGAAAAATTAGGTAAAACTAAAAAGTCCCAATAAAAAAGTTAAGTAAAAAAAAACCCTAGCGCCGGTTTGGTGCCGCCTTCCCCAAGCTTAACTGGAGGGCCAGCGCCGGTGAACCGCTATCTCCCGCCGTTGGACGGCAAGCGCGCCTCCTCAATTTGGTGGTCGCCAGTCGGGAATTAAGGTCGCCTTACTCCCGGTGGTATGACAATCAATCGATCCGCCGACCCCGCGCTCATCCAAGTGTGGGTCGCCCGTATTTGACCGATAAAAAAAAAACAGATAAACATTTCAACTGTAGCGAAACGACAGGTGCAACTATTATAAAACTCAAAAGCGAACAATGTTCGAATACAACCGGAATACATCACTACAAGAGAAACATGAGAGACACGTCAACAGACGATCTAGAGCCTCGACTAAAAGACAAGTAATCTCAAACACCAACTAGAATAAAATAAAGAAAGTAACCCTCACCACTGCTAAAAAGCCTAGCAACAGTTACAATCTCCTAAACAAAACCAAGCAAACTAAAACAGAAACAGACCCAAACAAAAAATAAAGCTAAAAGGCAGCAGCTAAGAATTGAAGCCAGTCTGTGTAAGCCATTCTAACCAAGATATGATCTGGTATGAAAGTCTTTTGGAATATCCATATGTTTCTGGACTTCCAAAGCTACCAAAGCATGTGTGTGGAGAGTTGAATTCGTGCTTCACCCATCTCAGAATGATCCAGTGAGCAGACCCTATACCAACAATCATTGAAAGAGATATCCCTTCTGCTAAGGTCATTCCATTGAACTGGACAAAGTTTCCATACATTCACAACTCTTGGGCAAGAGAAGAAGAGATGCTGCAGAGTTTCTTGGTCTTCACCACAGACTGCACAGGTAATGTCTATGCTCAGTCCCCTTTTCCAGAGATTTGTGGCTACTGGAAGAGTGCCACTGAGACATTTCCACATGAAGAACTTAAGCTTATTTGCAATCTTCAAGTGCCAGAACCTCAGCTTGGCTGGTTTCTTAAGGTTAGATGCACTGTTGCTTTCTGGAAAATCAGCCTGCAGGAATTTTTGATGAAAGAGATGCTTATAAGTACTGGACACTGAAAAGTTTCCTTTTTTATCCAAACCCCAATAATATCTATCACTTCTGTATGGATTCAGTGTACCAATGTCAAGTATGGCTTTGTTGCCTGCTTCATCAAAAACCTGTTGGACTAGTCAGTCATTCCATCGAGAGCCATTAGACTGCAGCAACTCCCTTACCCAGATTAAATGTCCCCTTGCAATAGGGATTAAGGTAGGGAAAGGCTTAGGTAGCTTTGGTACCCAATTGTGATCTTCAATTCTGGTGTTCAGTCCATTTTTTATCTCAATTTTAAACCATTTAGCAAACACTGGCAAGACATCCATCCAACTGTTCCACATCCAGGAACCACCTTGAATTTTTTTTGCATTCACAATGGAAGAGTGGGGAAAATACCTATCTTTAAGTACTCTGCTCACAAGGAGGTCTGGATTAGAGGCCACTCGCCACAGCTGCTTACATATTAGAGGTTTGTTAAACAGCTGAAGATCATGAAACCCAAGGCCACCTGATTGTTTTGAGAGAGTTAAAAAACACCATTTTTCCAGAAGATGCCCAGTCCTACTTCAAAATTTGACTTCCACCAGAAGTGAGCACAAAGTTTAGCAATATCTGCACATAGAGTGACTGGCATCTTGAAACAAGACATGAAAAATATTGGTAGTGACTGGATTACTGCCTTCAAGAGCACTGCTTTACCAGCTGAACTAAGAAGCTTGCCCTGCCAACCAGTGAGCTTTTTTTTGACAGTCTGGAGCAGATAATCAAAGACTTCTCTCTTGTTTTTGCCAATGCCCAGGGGAAGCCCAAGATACCTTGTTGACCTGTGGGTAACTATGCCATTCAGAGTTGAGCAAATAGAATACTGAAGGTTCTGAGGAGTGTTCTTGCTAAAGAAAATGGTCGATTTTTTCAGATTAACTGCTTGACCTGTGAAGAGTTTGTACTGTTCAAGGATACTCATGAGAATAGTTGCTTGGTCATTTCCAGCCTTGCAGAAGAAGAGTGAATCATCTGCAAATAAGAGATGAGAAAGCAAGGGGCCGTTCATAGAGATTTTCATCCCTTTGAGCATTCCATTATTCACAAAGTTCAGAATTAAAGCAGATAAAAGCTCAGCAACAATAATGAAAAGGTAAGGGGATAATGGATCCCCTTGCCTAATGCCTCTTGAAGGAGATACATAGCCACTGAGAGAACCATTGATTTTGAAAGAGAAAATGGCAGAAGAGACACATATCATGATCAGCTTCACAAAATCCATATGGAAACCCATTTGCAGCATGATTTTCTTCAAACATAACCATTCCACACGATCAAAAGCTTTAATCAAATCCAATTTGGGAGCCATGAAAAAATTTGGGCCAGAGGTGTGCCTATTTAAAAAATGAAATGCTTCTTGGGCAATTATCACATTATCAACAAGTTGTTTGCCCTCCAAAAAAGCAGCTTGGAATGTACTTATGCAGCTTGTCAAGCAGTTCTTAAGTCTTAGGGCCAGAATCTTGGAAATCATTTTGTAAACAACACAGCATAAACTTATGGGTCTGAACTGCCCCAAAGTTTCAGGAGTTGGACATTTTGGAATTAGAGAGATCACTGTGTGATTCCAGTATTTGAGAATCATACCTGAGTGGAAGAAGCTTGCAACTGCTGCCAAGATGTCTTGCTTGATAAGTGGCCAAAAATGCTGGTAGAAAGCTCTTGCCATCTCATCTTCTCCTGGAGATTTATCAGGATGTAGACTGAATAAAGAATTTTTTACCTCCTCTTCATCAACAGGTTTGAGCAAATCTTGGTTCATTTCAGAAGTTATAGAAGTAGGAATGAGAGGAAGAATGGATTCACCACCCCAACAACCTTCAGAGGAGAATAAGTTTGAGTAGAACTCTTCAATATGCTTCTCAATATCCCTTTGAGTGGTGAAGATGTGACCTTGTTGAGAAGTCAGCCTGGTTATAGCATTGTATCTCCTTTTTTGCATGGTAAGAGTGTGAAAGAACCTGGTGTTCGCATCCCCATCCTTAAGCCATTTAGATTTGGCTTTTTGCTGCCAGTACAACTCTTCTTGCCTGTGAGCCTGATTCAATGACCTTCTGGTAGACTCCCATTCCTCCCAATTGATGGCTGACTTATTCTGATTCAGAGACTCTAGCTATGCATTAAGAGCAGCAATGGTTTTCTGCCCTTCAGAGTGCAAAGAGGAACTCCATTTGAGCAGTGCGATTCTGGTGATCTTGAGTTTCTCTTTTAACTGGAAAAAAGGAGTGCCATGTACCTCAGAAAGCCATGCTTGCTTGACTACTTCTTCACATCCATCCCTTGTCAACCATCTTTTATCAAAATGGAAAGTAGTCTTTATCCTTTCTCTAGGCAGTCCCAAATTAAGTGCCAGGGCAGAGTGGTCAGAAGCACTTCTTATCAGGTTAGTGACAGTTGCATTTGAGTGTTGCTGGTTCCAGTCCAGAGAGCCAAAGGCTCTATCCAATTTTTCTTCTACCAAGTTAGGGGGTGCTCTGCTGTTACTCCATGTAAAAGGGGGTCCTAGCATTGTGATCTCCTCCATAGCCATGCCTCTGATAAAACTTGTGAAGCTTGTGAAGGAAATAGGAGTTCTGAGATTGCCCCCTAATTTGTCACCAATTGTGAGAATGTCATTCCAGTCTCCTATGGCAAACCAGCTGTTACCCCAAGAGAGTTTATCACTGAGCAGTCTTTCCCATTGGTCAATTCTGAGACTTTTAATGGGGTTAAGATAGACAAAAATTCCCCATTGAGGAGCAGAGGAAGATAACAAAAATTCTACAGCTATATAATAATCCTTGCAAATGATTTGCTTTATAATTACTTGGGAATTCCAGAACAAAACCAGACCACCACTGCAGCCAAAGGGGTCAACTGTGATGAATCTTTCTGCAAATCCCAACTTATTACTAACTGTATTAATAAAGGCTTTTGATTTTTTTGTTTCTGAAAGGAAAAGGAAAGTTGGGTGATGAGTTTTCAGCAACTCTCTGACTTGGGAAATTGTAAAGGGTCCACCCAGTCCTCTACAATTCCACACCACAGCTAACATTTACCACTTGGGTGTCATTCCAGGCTGGCAACCTCCACCTTTTCAGAATCTTCTTGTGATTTGTTTATTGCATCTTGCTTCAGAAGTTTTGAGTCTTTGGATGATGATGGAAGCTCACATTCTGTTGACGTTCTCTTCAGACTCGAGACATTGTCAATCACAATTGGTATGACAGGCTCCCTGAGCAATCTACCAGACTTGTTTCCCAATCTTTTCCATGTTTTTGCAGGGTCTGTAGTTTTCTTTCCCATTAGAATTGGGAGTGGGGAAGGCTTAGGAGTGTCAGTGGCTTCACATTCCATCAAGGTTGTTATCTCTTTGTCTGCAGGGCTAGATTCAACCAACACCACTTCTGGAGTTGGTGATTTGTTTTGTGAAGAGATAGATAATGCAGTAGATACCTTTACAGAAGAAGGAGAGGACTGAGGGTCCACTGAGGCTTGCACTGAATGAGAAGGGTTAGCTTCATGGAGAGGAATGATCTGGTGATTGTGTTCTGTCTGGTTTGAGGATGCTCTCTGTGTTCTTCTTAGCTCAGAATCAGATGGAGGGGATGTAGGAGAGGAGCTCCTATTTCTTGATTGATTTCCTCCCAGCCATTTTTACCCTTCAGTAGCCTTCAGCCAATCACCATATTGGCCCTCCTTAAGTGTATTGTTTTTTATATCTTGAATTCTTGCCTGGAAGGTTCTGTCCAAGTGTCCTATTTTGCCACAGTAGTGGCATAGGTTCATGAGCTTTTCGTACTTAAAACCCACATTCAGTATTTCATCACCTAAACGGATATGGGCTATTCTGGGAATTGGTTCCTCTAGATTCAGAGTAACAAGGAGCCTTAGCATCTTACCTCCATGAATACCGGTATTCACAATGACCACATTATTGACTTCCTTAAAAGTTTTCCCTATCTTCAACCCCACCTCTTTGCTTAACCAGTTAAGGGGTATATTTGTCACCTGTACCCATAAGTTGATCTCGCTGAAGCTGGGATGTTTGTTGTTGAGATTGCACGTCCATTCTCTGAGGATTAGATACTGATTTTCAAAACTCCAATTTGATCCACTCGCTACCCGGTTTTTATCTTCTTTGCTTTGGAAAATAAATTGAAAGTAGTTTGGACCGAGTTCTTTCACCTCTATCTGTTGATTGAGCTGCCATATTTGAGTCATTGCTCTTTTTATGCCGAACCAACCCGCAACTCTGTCCCCTATAACTTTCCCAAATAAACTCCGCTGGCATTCATCGTCGGTCAACCGAATATCTTCCTTAGCAATATCTATAACGTGAATTTCCCTTTCTAATAAGGAGAAATCTTTCAATCTAGATGATAGTTCATCGTCGGGGTGAATATGGAAGCTGCCCTCCATTATGAGAACCCTAATTGAAAGAGGAATTAACTGGGAATGGCTTATCTGCGAAATTAGAGGCAAAGGAATATCTGATAATCACAAAAACGGATTGAACAAATTGAGAAGTCCAGGTTAGGATCGAAAACTGAGATCACTCTCAATGAGATAATCTTCAACGAGAGAATTTTATGGGCTCAGCTAGTTGAATTGCTATTATTTATGACTTGGTTTCATTTATGTAATAAAAAATTATATCTACCGTACATGGTGCAAATTTCTCTTAAATAAATGAATACAGATGCAAATGCTATTAAGAAAAATATTGATTGCTATAAATTAATTAATATTTACGGTGTTGTTTACAAAATATCTAATTCACATTTAATCCATAATTAGTTGGTAAGTTATACTTGTAAACCCTAATCTTTTGTACAAGTTATACTTGTAAACCATAATCTTTGGTATATATATACACAGCTAGGGCCTCTCTCTCGACATTATATCAGATGAGCGATTTCACTATCATGTTCCTTTCTCCTACTTTGTAAATACTGAAAATCTAAATCAACTTTAACTCAATCTCTTTATCCTTAATATTATTTATATAATTAAATAACAAACAAATTATTCTTACACATCACATCAATTTTAATTCACAATTTATCTATTCACATAATTTTAACTAACCACCATTTCACATCATTTATCTTATACTTTTATATCAAATTAAATTTTATTATATTATTTTAACATAAACTCAAAATCTCACTGACAATTAACTATACCATATTTTTCAAAATTAACCCAATCAATTAAAAAAACGCATTTTGAGCGAATTAATTTGTAAACTACCAAGCCCTACGAGTTCCAACATATACTTTTTGAATTTTATTTTTGTACAATTCAATTTCAATTTGAAAATAAATATAGGGAAGACTGGACATTCCCACAAATTACTGTCCACGCAATGTGAGCAAGTTCAAGTGGGAAATCAAAAAGAACTGGACATTCCCAATTTGCTTCACGCAGAGAAATATCAAATCAATTTGTCTAGCTAAAACGCACCCAACAAAATAGTATCATACCAATAAGTAATTCCAACCAAAAACGAACCCATATCTAGTTAAAACTCATTTTTTCCAAAGTTCTTTTAAATTCAATTGTTTAGCAAAATGCAAAACCATCATCTGGTACCCCCTCCAAGAACTCCCTTTAGTGCCCCCAGATCTTTATACTATAATCAATCACATGAACTAAAATATAACACTGCTAAACCACTACCCTCATCGAGCAGTTCAAGGTAGGTAAGAAGAAAGAATTCTAAGAAAGGTTCAACAGAGCACACGTACTACTATCCAAGCATAAAACACCTGCCATATATTAGCTGGGAAAAAGGCACCAGAGAAAATGAGAGAAATGAGATAAACATGTAAATATAATATATGGATATACATATATATAAATTGAGATTGAAGTTACCACCTGTGATCTCATAATCCAAGTCAGGCTCACTTTCATTTAGATCAGCCCAATTTCAGAGTAGGGTACTACAATCACAAGGAATTGTAACAAGGACCAATAGTGAAAGCAGACAAAAGTGTAATCATATCAGTATTGGACTCAACACAATGGTTAGTAACTAAAGAAAAAGTTCATAGATANAAAGATATTAATGTAAATAAAATTCAAGAAATCACATTCTTCAAAGCAGGTATAACCTCCCAAATGAAGCACTCCAACAAAAAGATAACCAACGAAAGACTCTGAATTAATAGCTGAATGAACTGTACTTTAAGCACATCTCTGCAAATGTAACAGTACAGAAAGGTTATGTGAGTCCCAAACTTCCAGCAAGAAATTCATGGCAAGAGATAAGAAATCAGGATCACAAGTTCCCCAACATACAGCCTGTAAAAGATATTACATAACGACAAAGAAACATGTGTTATGATTTGCCAATGAAATATTAAAATAAGCTACTTAAGAATGAAAAGATGCATAATGAATAATACGTTATACAATAATATGGGCTCATACGAGAAGACGGTACCAACAAATGGGATAGAGGAACACCGCCACAGCCAATACAGAGATAGCAGTCAGAATATGGCTATCTGCAGCTTTCAGAAAAATTTAGATGAGGTACTGAATGTTTTCTATACTAAACACTAATCTCTATAAAAAATCTTCATCACCATTATGCATCTGAATAATAAAACATCTGAGTCACGACATCATTCTGTTCAGGAGGCACTCTTGCTGGCAACCAATTTGTTCCTTCAATACATACAAATGACAAAAAACCATAGTTTTGAAAACCGAACAGAACCAGCGGGTTCAACCCGTCAGCCAGGAACCGGGCTTCATACCGGTCCGATTCTTTTATCAAACCAGATGAACCGGGCAGAAACTGGTTGAACCGGTACCGGTTTCCAACTGTTTCAGGAAATTAAAAATTAAAAAAAAAAAATTAAAAAAAAAAAGCAGATGCTCACTCCAGAAAAATGGTATCTGATTATTTAAGGTGAGAGGTGAACAGAGAGAATTTGGAGAGAAAATGAGAGAAATGTCAAGAAAAAAGGAACGATTGAATTTGCTTTATTTATAGCGTTTCAATCCCCATGAATGGCTATTGTTGCATGCACCAAGTCAAGCAGGAATATGACCGCTATTACTGGCAGAATGCTATTGAGTTACAGGAAGAGACATCCACTCTGCTGCCTCTTGCGGCTGATGGAATAAAAATTTTCATTTAGGATTTCTTTTTACTGCTCTCTTAAATTACTAGGCTTGACCAAGCTTTTTTCAATTAATTGGGCTTTTAGTTATTTGATTATTTCAAGTAAATACATTTAGTATGTAAGTAGTTATTTGATTATTTCAAGTAATTACTAGGATTTCTTTTTTCAATTAATTGGGCTTTTACTTATGACACATATGATACTACATAAATAGTATAAATACTAAAATATATACAATTATTTATAGTTTTAAACAATTTTTGTTATGACGATAATAAATGTATATGTAAGTATACTGGATATGTATAAATTACAATTTCAATTAATTAAAAATTTGCATACATCAAATTATTTAAATATTAAATTAATGATACTTTTATGTATCTAATTCATTATTTAAAGTACTATATAATATTTAAAAATAATAAGAAATTAGATATTAATCTCACCGGTCCAAACAATGGTCCGATCCGTAGAATGATCGGTCCGGTTTTGAGAACCTTGCAAAAAAACACTTGAACCATTTCTTATAAGAGCTAAAGTGAAATCTTAATTAAAGTGACAAAATAGGACTGAAAAGCATTCGAGTTAATGAGATTAACTTGCCAACTTATACCACTTCCTTACTTCATTTCAAAATTTCCAAATGTTTCTAAATGTTTTATTCCATCTCCACAGCATTCTGGGGCAAGAAGTATTTCTCAATAGAATTCAATGTCTATTTCTCCCTAAGAATGATTCAAGGCTGGACATATGATTTGGGGGGACATTCTTTACTATTGAATTTCTCTATTTCTGATTTGTTCCTAATTAACAAGAGTTAAAAATACGTCTCAAACACCATATAGCAACTTATATCTCGCTCTACACTTTTTAGTTTTGTTCATACAAAAATAGCTCCTCACGGTAAAACACAAAATCTAACCATGATAAAGAGATCTACTTAGGTTTTGGGTCAACAGTGGTACTTTCTCTTTGCAACCTTAAACACTGCATCACAACTTCCTCAATATTATACACTGCAAAAAGGAAGTATTGTGGTCCAATCCAACCAAAATGGAAAACAACTACCCCATTTTTGCATCAACTGCAGTACTTTCTTTTTGCCACCTTAGACACTGCATTACAGCTTCCCATTGATAAAAACATGAGATGCACAGGCAAGAAAGAATAAACACTTGTGGTGATAAGCTTGCAAAACTCGAATAGAAAAGTCTCTTAATAACGTGGTAAAGGAGAAGAGGACTACGCTTACCTTGGTAATAGAAAAGCCAGCTACAGAATCACTTCACTATTTCATTTCTGCCATGAATTTCTCATACTCTGTGTCTGTCTTCTCAGAAGATGACGCCAGTTGATTTGACGTCCAGGGTGCATTACTCAAGCCATGAGTATGTTCCACAGTGGACAGAGGCATTGCTGCAGGAGGAGGAGGAACAGCAGCATACCGAGGTGGATATGTATATGGATGCAGTGGGTACGGAACCTGACCATTATGCGGCATGGAAGTTACAGAATTTCCATAGATATAGCTTTGTCGTATCTCGCCTGAAGAAGCATAAATTTGTTGTGTATCAGTAGATGATACAGTCTGCGTAAGCATGCCAGATGAACCTGGTGGTGGTGGTGGTGGTGGTGGTGGTGGACATTGTACATTGTACGGGGGATAAGTAGCATATTGAGGAGGGCCCCAGGGAATTGGAGCCCCATTATAGACTCCAGAAGGCGGGCCTCCTATGGGCCCACCAGAATAGTACTGCTGGGATGGGTAGGCACCAACAGGCTGACTCGGGGCAGGGTATGTCGGGACAGTGGGAGCAGGTGGACCTGCTGCAGGTAATTGAGGCTGAGGAGGTTTACCGGCCACTCTCACTGCAATTGGCCTTCCATCCAGCTTGTGGCCATTCATACTGGCAATGGCGGCATTAGCCTGCTGAACATCAGCATACTTCACAAACCCATAACCCTTACTCAGACCGGATAAGCGGTCCTTGATAACCTTGGCCATCACTATTTCACCGAACTGGGAGAACAAGCTGATCAGGGAATCGTCCTCCATAGTCGGAGGCAAATAACCGATGTATAAGTTAGTCTCATCGTATTCCTTTGGCTTTAGTGGATTTGATCCCAAACCAGCATGAGTGGTGTTACTAGAAGTGTTTGTGCCATTTGCCCAGGGAAGAGCAGGAGCAGCTGCAGAGCTTGATTTGGTCAGAGACTCTGGAAGCGTACCACCTAGTTCGGCCAAAAAATTCTGGTACTCGTCGTCCATTTTCTTGCCTGTGGTATTCTTCACCGGGCAGTCTATAGTAGGATGTCCTCCGTCGCCACAAATCTTACACAGTACGTCACTCTTGAACGTTGTCAGGCGGGAAGGGCACGAGAGCTGGCGATGCCCAGGCTCACCGCACAACCTGCAATACTCTTCGTCTCTAATAGTACCATTTAGTGCTGCAAGCTCCCTAAGCTGTTGCCTTTTGTGCTCATTGAGAACCTCGTCAACAGGCTGCAGGAGCTTCTCGAGCATACCCACAGCAGCATCGAGTGATTCCTGATTATCTGCCTCCACCAGTACGTGCAGATCCTCATTATCAGAAGGGTCGTGCTTCAGATCCCTCTTCTGCTGCTGCCTGCCCTCCTTCATAGACCCTTTGCCTCTTATCACAATTTTTGCTCCAGTTTCCTTTACCATCCTTTTCTGAGTGTTTCCTCGTGGACCAATAATGAGACCTATAAAATTGTAACCCGGATACTCTTTCTCTGGAATGTAAAGCTTCTTTTGAAGTTTCGGCGGCCTGTAATCTGCAGGTGGCTTGAAGGCAGGATTTTTGTCGAGAATCTGTTTTATTATTTCTTGTTTCTCCCTAATTAATTTCTCCCTAGCGCGGTACTCCCTAGTGTTAATCCTAACTCCCATGTTATCATAGATAGGTTCAGGCGAGGGCGACCTAGCCCCCTCTGGCCTATCGTCCAAAGCTGTGCCAGATTGCAACTTTCGGGTGATCTCAAGCAACCTACTGTTGAGAGCTTGGATCTCTGGATCAAACTCGATACCTCCAGTGAGTTCCTTCATGAATTCAGGCAGCTGGACCACGGGCTTAGGCTCGTCATCCGCCCATCTCGACTTCCTCTTCCTACTTCCGTTTCCGGAATTATCATCACCAGTGCCGGAGGCGCTCTCGCTCGGTAGAGGATCCCACCGGGACCGCCGTTTCCTCCGGCTGCTGGTTTCCTCTTCACCGCCAGAGAAATCCTTGTCGGTTCCGCTGTGCGTGTTGGTTAGACAGTTCTCCGACAGCAACGGCTTAGGGAAATCGGGCTTTGGGGCAGGGGTGGAAGTGTCGTCGGCGGCGGTAGCGGAGGATACGTTTTCCGATGAATCTAGGGTTTTCTCAAGGGTTTCGGAGTCAGGGTGAGGGCGGTTATCGTGATTAGGGAAGTGGTCGCTGGAATTCGAGAGTTGAGATTGGGGTTCAGATGGCGAATCCATGCAGTTGGATTGAAGGGCGTCGTGAGAGAGATTTGAGATATGTCGAGACTGAGCAGGTAAATGGCGGATGACGATACGCGTAATCGGGTTAGGGTATGTTTGGTTGAGGGAAAGAGAGGGGAGGGACTTTAATGGAAGGGAGGAGGGGAGGGAGGGGATGAAAAATAATTTTATCTTGTTTGGAAGGACTAGTGCGTGGCCCGTGCAATGCACGGAAAAATAATATTGTGATTGTATTATAAATTAAATATATAAATAACATTAATCATGATATATGTATTGTTTTTACATTAAACCGGGTTGGACACAGTCCGACCGGATGGACGGAGAACCGATTTATAACCAGTCTAGTTCGCTTGAATAAGATATTTGCTTTTGAATCCGTCAACACCAGTCGGTTGGATTTGTAGAATCGACACAATTTTTTAAATAAATTTTATTATATTTAAAATTATTTTAAATAAAATTACATATTGAAATAAAATAGAGATTTATAAATTATTTATCAATTAGTTTAAACATTTGAATTTATAAATTTTTTAAATATCTAAGTAACACATCTTGTTTAAATTTATTACAAAAAATACTATATATATATATATGTATATATTAAAATGTTTATAAATTAAAATCTGAACAAACCACAAATGATTTAATAAAATAACTTGATCGTTTCGATGACGGTCTAGTTCTGAGAACCTTATATTTAGTGTACATTAATAAATATTATAATAAAATATTTTTTTGTTCACATAAATATTAATAAAATGAAATATAAATATTCATAAATCATTAAACATGTTGTCATAAAAATATTGTTAATACGATTATTTGAAATTTGGACTACATCACATTCACGTAATAAAATATTTTCAATATAAAATTTATATTTAGGTTCAATAATCGATTTGGTGTGATCGATTTGATTCATAACTTAGTCACCCGGGACCAACCAAGTTGTGTCAAGTTTTTTAACTATTTTAAATATCACCTAAAAGTAATTCAATCAACCTGGACAATACCCTAATTCAATCACCTGATTGATCCGAAGAAAATTTCTTATTTTCTTTAAATATATTTAATTTTATGAAATAAAAATATTTTATGATTCATATAATAAATGTCTACACCAAATGATAGTATATTAAGATTATAAATTATATATCTTAAGATGAATTAATTATTTTTACTTTATGCATATTAATAAAAAATAAACATAGTAATTTTCAAAAAATTAAGATTAATTGATTGATTATGCAATTTAAAGAATATTTTTAGCGTTCAATTTTTTTTAAAGGCACAAATATAAAGACCGAGATTCTAAAACTTTTGTTATATTTTGAATTGAGATTTTATAAATATAGAGACCGATATTTTAATTTTGTTCGTTGTTTCTTAAAAAAAAAATAAAAATAAAAACATACACATTTAATAAATCTTAGCCGGATTTTTTAAATAATAAAATGAATTATAGCCCGAAATTTAAGGTAGCATTTAATGTTGTATGAATTTTAAAGAAAAAATAAGAAAAATAATAAAACTTACTTATAGACTGCATTAAATTCTTACCTATTTTTTTGTTACTATTTTTAGTAAATGTTAGTTCTTATTATATATATATAGATTTTGTATGAGGGGAGGTGAGGGAAAATGATAAATCTTATCTATCTATATGTAAAAAGGTTGTTGTTAAAATACCTTTTTAGAAATTTTTGACCAAAAAAAAAAAAATTTGACATTGTAAATATAGAAACCATATTTAAAGCATTTATAATACACGAAATTTTAAAAAAGGCGTACTTGAATTCAAAAATTAATTGATTAGAGATATTATTGAGATATGTGGATAAGTCACCTTAAAGAGATAAGTATAAGTCTCTAAGGAATATTTATCACAATTGGATTCATAATTATCATTACATAATTATGCGAATCTTGAGATAAAAAACGGTTGTTTGGTATAAAATAAAGTTCACGCCATTCACGTCATTCACAGTTCAGAGAAAATGAAAAAAAGTTCACGTCATTCACAGTTCAGAGAAAAAAAAACCGAGATAAATTTTACAGAGAAAAAAAAAAAGAAAGAGATAAATTTCAAAACACATAAATAATATAATGCCGCCAGTCTGGGATACACTCGATTCCGTGAGTAGGAGAAACAAGCCTTTTTTTGTACTTGAAAGCAGTCCTAATAGTTGAAACGCATCACCAACAGAAGAGCTTGAACGCATTCCATATGCTGTTTCATGATGAACATGTAAATATTTTTATTTGTAATATCAAATTTTATAATTTTAAAAAATATTTTAATTCATATTTATAAATTTATATTTTAGGGTACGTTCATTAAAGGCATAATACGTTCCAAACATATCGGAGCATTTCGAGGTGTACTGAACGAAGGCGAGGTGTATGCGATCAGCAACTATGTCGTTGAATTTAATCATGGGAAGAAGGATATCATAACCAACATATGAAAACTTGTGTTTCATGGAAGAACTCATGTTATCAAATATGGTGGGATTTTCCCTCAGAATGGTGATATTTTCCCTCAAAATTAGCAAGGAGCAGGAGATATTTATGATATTTAGAGTTTGATTATTATGAATTTTAATTTCATTCCATGTCGTTGAATTCTGAATTCTATAATACATTTTAGTGTTATGATATTTGTTAACGCAATAAAATATCGTTGAATATTTTTTTTAGAGTTTGATTATTATGAATTTTAATTTCATTCAATGTCGTTGAATTCCGAATTCTATAATAAATTTTAGTGTTATTATATTTGTTATCGTAATAAAATGTCGTTGAATATTTTTTTTTTAATTAAATGTCACATGAATGCGAAAATTTTAACATTTTATTTTTAACTTCTACTGTATATTAGTTTAAAATTGGTAGAATGCCATGATATAAGATATAAATTAATACAAATTTCAAATATAAGATTATATGAATAAAAAATTACGGAATTAACAATAACTGAATCAAGCACATTTAATAGATTATATTGCGTGATTTTTCAATAATTTATCATAATGGATTATATTCATAAATATCTTTCTCAATAAAAAATTATTTGTAGAGACAATACAATTAATGGTGTAGAAATAATATTGGATTGGATAACTCAATAATGAAAATCGCTCATTATTTTGCACAAAAAAAAATAAGGTTGAAAATTACAATTTGATTTCAAAATTGGTTTAGGTTTCTATTGACCGAAAAATCACACTTTGAATTCTATTTGAATTCAAAATTGGTGTATTTTTTTATTTGAACAATCATTTGTGTTTTAGAAAAATCGTACTCAACAATATTCATTTGTGTTTGTTATTGACCAAAAATCACTCTTTGAATTCCATTTGAAATGAAAATTACGAAAAAAAACTCTTTGAATTTCATTTGAAATGAAAATTGCGAAAATCACTTTTTGAATTCCATTTGAATTCAAAATTGATAATCATTTGTGTTTTATCCAAACAAATTTAAACAACTCATATTATTAATGTGATTTAGAATCTATGGATAACTCATTATGCGTGATTTAGAATCTATGGATAACTCATTATGCAAAATCGCATGGTGGAATAATCTGTTATGTAACAATAGTCTGTTACACCAGATTAATATCACAGTTTGGAATTTAATGTTATTCATTTAAAAAAACATAACAAATAGCGAGTCCTAGGGTGGAGTGATCACGAGATTTAACATCAGATTATTCAGAATTTGATTTTTTTTAACATCCAGCTAAAATCACGTCTAATTAATCTGATAAATCAATTCTCACTAATCTTATCATCATATTAGAGTTTTAATTTATTGGAACTCTGAAATTAAAATCACGTGCAATGAATCTTATCAGGGAGATTAACGTGAAAAAACTAACCTTATCATCTAACATCCAACTAAAATCACGTCAACTAAAATCACGTCTAACTAATCAGATAAATCAATTCTCACTAATCTTATCATCATATTAGAGTTTGAATTTATTGGAACTCTGAAATTAAAATAACGTGCAATGAATCTTATCAGGAGAGATTAACGTGAGTCCAACTTATCTTATCATCTTTATAATCTAATGGTTATCAACTTTCATCCCATGGGATGGGTATAAAATAAACGTCTGAGCTTATATCACGTATCACAAAAATCTCACACTACAATTTCACATACAAATAGAAAAATGGCGAGAGCATGGGGAAACATCAAGCAAGTAACAAGGACCAATAGGCCAATGCTCAAGTTGAGGGTTGTTCGTGTTTTCCAAAGGACTAATCAATACTCATCCTATAATAACATCCTTGAAATTGTCTTTCATGACATTGAGGTTTAATTTATAATAAAAAAAAATTGATTATCCATTTTTCTCATCATGTTAATCGTAATATCTAATATATTTTTTTTTCTCAGGGGGGTCGAATTACTGGAATAGTAAGAGCAATCAATATCCCAATTTTCATCCATGAATTCGAAGAAGGTGTTGTTTATGCATTTCGAAACTATCAAGTTGAGAGTAATATCGGAATGTATAGATCCACCATTGGACAATACAGAAATGCTATGGAGCCATCGGATGGTTCCCTTATGGAGCCATCCATAACGTTAGGTATTGACACGTGTCCAATGTACATTTATTACAGGACACGTGTCAATACACCATTTGTGGATAACTATGGATGGCTCCATAAGCCGAGCCATCCGATGGCTCCATAGCAAAACCGTTGGACAATATAGGCTTATACTACATGGTAGAACCGAACACATAAGCTACAAGGGTGACTTTCCAATTTTCCGTTTCGACTTTTGACAGTTCATCACATTGATTGATATCGAGAAAATCGACGAATCAATGCTATTTGGTAACTACATTTTCACTTCTTTATTTTTATTTTTTTTTACGTTCAATAATATTTTTACTCACATTTAATTTTGCTAAATGTTTAGATGTCATTGGAATGGTGGTCGAGATACATCCCGTTCAAATGAAGAACGTCAAAGGAGTACAAACTCGCATGATAGCATTCTCACTAATGGATCCGGAGTAAAATTAAAACATACACCCACATATTATTATTCATGTATATTAGTATAATGTAATATTTACTTTCTTATCTATTCGAATAAATTTTTGTTTGAATTTGAAATTAGGGAAACGTTCTGCCCTTCACTTTATGGGGACATATGTTGATCAATTCCTCAACTTTGAGAATCAGCTTGCCGGCCCACAATGGCAATCTTTGGGCTTTGATAATTCAATTAGGGCGTTCAAGAGAATGGGATGGTATATAAAATTTAATGTCTTCAAATTTTATAATAAATTTATACAATATGTTAAATGTTTAAATTAATTTATTTCTTAACAAACAGAAAAAGTGCAAGTTACCTCATCAAAGAATATCACAAGGCTAATTGCTGGAGAAAATATTCCAGACGTTGTGAAATTTGGCAATAGGTAAAACTACTTTTAATTAATTTAATATTCAATAGTTATATATAATAATAATAGACAATTAAAAAATTAAAGTTTATATATTATACAGGGCTGCTATCGGCCCACTTTCAAGGGCCCGCTTAATTTCAAAGAGTGCTATAATTGTGAAATCTGAACTTCAAGAATTAGCCGATGGTGATGTTGTTGTGAGTGCTGTTGACTCACTCTTTGATACTGCTGAGGTAAATATAAATACATTTATATATGTGCCAATTCTATTTGATGAAAAGCATTGCTGAAATTGTTCATTTATAAATGTAGGAAACCGATGTTTGGATAAGTGCTACCGTGGAGTCAATTATAGATGAGTGGTGGTACCGCTCATGCAGAAGATGCACAAGCAAAATGGAGGAGGTTCATGGACAGTTTAACTGCATCAAATGTGCTCATAAATTTGAAATTTATCGGTAACAAAAATTACTAATATTATTGAATAATAGTAATTAAATAATATATGATTTTTTTTCTTAACTTATTTTTTGTATCTATAGCTACAAGATTCAATTTGGTGTCCAAGACAATACGGCTCCTGCAACCTTAATTGCATGGAATAATGAATGCGAGCCTATAATTGGTAGGCCATGTGATGCATTGAGACGTGAAATGATGCAAAAGGTTCGTTCTGTTAATTTTAATTATACTATATATTAAATATTTTAACAAAAAACTATATGATACATATTGTTGTCTCTATTGGCAGAATTCTACCAGCATTGAACTGCCAGAAGAAATAGACAATATGATTCACAAATCATATCTGTTTAAGGTGCGAATTAGTCAAAACAGGCGTAATTTCAAGGGAGTAGAATCAGCATTTTCTGTTGTGAGGATGATTGTTGATGAAAATCTGGTATCTAAGTACAGTTAGTGGGTTACCATGAAAGAAGTAAGTATAAGAAACAAAAAAATAATCAGGGTAATTAATTAATAAACTATGATGAAATATTAAAGTTTAACTTACTTTCTATTAAATTTTATAGGACTCTAACTTCTTGACTTTATGTCAATGTGAAGAGGCTAACAATGGCAAGGTCAATGATCATTTATCACACTTATNTTCCAACGATATCAAATCTCCATTCAAAATCAAAATAGCCGCCCAAAGGGCAAATGTACACAGAGGACGACTCCAATAACCTGGGTAACTGAGAGGAAACCATATAAGCTTCCTAAACATAACTACCAACACCAACAGCTCAAATCATCTTAACAGCTATGAAAATGACCCTACAATCGAATACAATGACCATATAACACTAATCAACATCAACACCATAGCAACACAACCAAAAACAAAATAGAAAGATCACTGACACGAGACCTAACCTATCTATTAAGAGTTCTTGGAATCATTTGGTGTTGTTTTGGTTGAAGTCCAACCAATCCTTCACAGCTGCTTTGATGATCCAAACCTCAGATTGCCAAGTGCCTTCGAACACCCAAAGATTTCTAGCTCTCCACAGCCACCACAAAATATAAGTGGAGAGCTGAATCCTTGCTTCAGAGATGTCCTTAGAATCCATAGTACAGATCCACCACCACCATTGCTTCACTGTCATCTGCTCTGTCTGCACTCTATTCCAACTGACAGGGGACAGTTGCCAAACCATTTTGGCCTTCCTGCATAGAAATAGAATGTGCTCTTGAGTTTCCTCCTCCTCACCACAGACTCTACAAGTTGCCTCCAGCTCCATTCCTCTGTGCAGCAGGTTACAGTAAACAGGTAAAATATTAGAAAAACACTGCCACACAAAGTGCTTAACCTTGCCCATCACTTTCAATGCCCAGCACCTCTTCCTGGCTTGTCTGTTTCCCTCAGCAACAGCACTACTTTCAGCCACAGCTCCCATACAAAGTCTGTCAGAGAGTAGTTTAGAGTAAGCTTTTTTAACAGAGAACTTCCCTTTGCCAAAGAATGGGCACTGCCAATAATCAGCAACTCTAGGGTTCAGAGTTTTAATCAACAAAATCCTTTCAGCATCAGCTTCAGTGAACAGAGCTCTCACTAAAGTAGTATCCCAATTCACACCACCTGCCAGCATTAGATCTTTAACCCAAAACAATCTTCCATCCACCTCAGTTCTCAGTTCAGGCTTTTTCCCACTCAAACCTGGCACCCAGTTCATCTCATTCAATCTAGTGCTTTGCCCATTCTTAATCACCAGCTTTACCTGTTTCTGTAGATCAGGTAGGAATGTTGCCCATGAGCTCCACAACCAAGAGGCACTCCCAGTATTTCTCCATTCAAAAATAGAGCAGTCATTAAAGTATTTGCTCCTTAGAACTCTACACATCAGCATATCTGGTTGCTCAAGAATTCTCCACAGCTGCTTCAATATCAGAGCTTTGTTGAAGAGTTGAAGGTCCAGAAATCCAAGTCCCCCTTCCTCCTTTGGCACAGTCAGTTTATCCCATGATAGCCAATGCATATTCTGCTTCTGAGACTGCCCCTTATTCCACCAGAATCTAGCCACAAGTTTGCACACATCTTTACAACAGCTAACAGGGAGCACAAAACAAGACATGACAAAAACAGGTAAGGCACAGAGCACAGACTTCACCAAAATTTCCCTCCCTGCAGTAGATAGAAAGGTATTCTTCCAGCTGCAAATTCTATCTTTCACAGCCTCCACCACATACTGGAAAGTTTCAATCTTTGAAGCCCCAATACCCAAAGGCAGCCCTAGATACTTAGAAGATCTCTTCACCACCACCCCATCAAGAATAGAAGATATTCTGGTCTGCAATCCTTCAGTACAGTTTTTGCTTATGAAAAGAGAGGATTTGTGCAAATTAACTTTCTGCCCTGTAAACTTTTGGTATTTGTGGAGAATTTCAAGCAGCAACTCAGCATGTGTCTCATCAGCTTTACAGAAAATTAGGGTATCATCCGCAAACATCAAATGAGCGAGAACAGGACCATCCCTGGAGACTTTGATACCCTTAAACCACCCAGCATTAATCTTATGTTGCAAGAGAGCAGAAAACATTTCAGAAACCAAAATGAAAAGGTAGGGGGACAGAGGATCCCCCTGCCGAATACCCCTGGAAGAATTAATATACCCACATATCCTGCCATTCAGATTAAAGGAAAAAGTAGGGCCTGCAATACAACTGCTTATCCAATGCACAAATTTGCCATGAAACCCCATTCTACTCATGATTTTCCTAATACAATCCCACTCCACACGATCATAAGCTTTTTCCATGTCCAGCTTAACTGCCATAAACACATTAGGCCCAGATCTATGTCTATGCAAATAGTGGAATATTTCATGAGCAATGATGACATTGTCCAGTAAAAACCGGCCAGGGACAAAAGCAGTTTGGGCTTGACTGATACAGGCATCCAGGCAACTTTTCAACCTCTCAGCCAGCAACTTAGCAATAATTTTGTAAAGAACCCCACAAAGACTAATAGGTCTGTAGTTACTTAATGCCTCAGGATACATACACTTAGGAATCAGAGTGATAATAGTGTGTTTCCAATTTTTCAATAAATGCCCAGTTCTGAAAAAACTACAGACAACCTTACATACATCAGCTTTGATAATATGCTAAAATTTTTGAAAGAAACTAGCAGACATACCATCATCTCCTGGGGCTTTCTCAGGAGCCATACTGAACACTGCAGCCTTTACTTCCTCCTCTTCCACAGATCTGATTAGATCATTGTTGAGAGCATCAGAAATAGAGTGTGGAATATGTTGAAGCAGCTCCTCACCCCCACTGGATCCCTCTGAAGTAAAAAGGCCTGAGTAAAAGTTGAAAATATGCCTCTCCATAGCCTCATGAGTATCACATATATCACCAGATGGGGTTTTCCGAGTGGAAATAAGGTTCGTTCTTCTTCTCTGTGATGTGAAAGCATGGAAAAACTTGGAGTTGCAGTCACCACTCTTAAGCCACAAAGCCCTAGATTTCACCCTCCAGTATCTCTCTTCCTCTTGATGAGCATTGTCTAACTCAGACTTTAGCACATTCCACTCCTCCCAATCCCTATCTTTGCCCACCAATCTCATCTCTTCCAGTTTTGCTGTGAGAGTAGTTATGACCTTTTCACTATTTCTGTGGATTGGCTTGTGCCAGGCAAGAAGAGACATTCTAGTATGCTTCACCTTCTGATGCACCTGATACATTGCAGAGCCTTCTACCTCCACTTGCCAGCCATCTTTTACTGCATCTTGCACACCCTCCATATTTGCCCACTGACTACTAAACTGGAATCTTTTGTGGCTCCTTTCCAGCTGCTTATCAGTATCAAACAGCAGAACATTGTGGTCAGAAGCTGATCTGTAGAAATTGGAGGCCACCATGTTGGGGAACTTAACCCCCCACTCACAAGACACAAATATTTTATCCAACCTCTCCTCCACATAACCATCCCCTTCTCTGTTATTCCCCCAAGTAAAGAAAGAACCCAGCTGATCCACCTCTTGCATCTGCATATTAATGATAAACTCCTGAAATCCCACAAAGCTGCTATTTCTCCTTCTCACACCACCCCTTTTCTCCTCATTATCAACAATGTCATTCCAGTCACCAGCAATTAACCAGCATGGGCCCCATTGCTCTTTGCAATCTTCCAGAAATGCCCACTGATGTTCCCTTTCCCTCCTATCAGTACTCATATACACAAAAGTCATCCACTGCTAATCAGAGATCCCTTCACCTTTTATTTCCACTTGAATGCAGAACTCATTCCCCAGAATTTGTCTCACCTCAGTAGAATTATCCCATAGTAACAGTAACCCACCCCTAGTGCCAATAGGTTTTTCCAAATGCCATCTATCCATAAATCCCAGCTTTCTACACACAGTTTGAGTAAACTTGTCAGATTTCTTAGTCTCAGATAGAAATATTATATTTGGGTGGTGGATTCTTCTAGAATCCTTAATCTGGGAAACTGTAGAGGACCCACCCAGCCCTCTACAGTTCCACACCATGACCTTCATTGGTCACTCTGGGGCCAATTATGGCTGGCCTTCTCCACCAATTGTGCTCCACAGTTCCCCTTCTGTCTCTTCTCAGATCCTGCATCATCAGCTTGTTGGCCTCCTTCATATATCACCAACTCTCTGCTTCTTTTAAGAGGTACAGCCCTAATCTTTTCCCCGGGTACTTTTGTTGCACTACTTAGCCGGTTCAAACTTGGAACTGTCCTCTTCCACATAGCCCCAGTTCTTCTCCTCAGATCATACCTGCCCCCAGCTATTTGTCTTATCTCCATCAGGTCTGTTCTGTCCATAATCCCCTCTTCTATCTCCATAGCCTTTTTGCCCTTGTTATCACCAACTTCATTCCCATCACCCTGCTTAGTGTTATTCCCACAAACCTCTTGAGCCACCACCTCTTCATCTACAATAGTCAGCCCCTTACCCCCAGCATCTTCATTGCTTCTAATATGTTCTGACAATCCCACATTGGAGTGATTATTAGCAGCAACTAGAGATTCTCGAGTAGGACTTATATTCGTGTGATTATTTTTGTCACTTGAGCTTCCCGTTTGCATACTTCTGCCACCTGCAAATGTCTCATTGGATTTAAGCCATTCCCCATATTGTCCCTCTACTACACAGTCATTGTCAAAATCATCCACCCTCTTGCTACAATTTCTTTCTAGATGGCCAATCATCCCACAGTAATAGCATAAATTAACAAGCTTCTCATATCTAAAAGCCACCATAACCTTCTCATTACCCAACTTAATGGAAGTACACCTTGGAATTGGCTCCTTGATATCAATGGCAACCAGAATCTTCAGGAAGCTACCAACATCCCCACCCACTTTGCAAACAACCACATTCTTCACTCTGTTGAAGATCCTACCCACTTTCAGTCCAACTTCCGTACACATCCAGTTCAAAGGTACATTCAACACTTGAACCCATAAGTTGATCTCATCAAAACAGCTATGCTTGCTGTTTAGCCCATGGAACCATTCTTTAAGGATTAAGTATTGGTTCTCATACATCCAGCTGTGACCTGCACCAACTTTCTTCTTGTCTTCTATTGACATGAAAATAAACTGGAAAAAGTTGGCACTGATTTCCTTAACCTCCATCGAATGCTGCATTCTCCAGATAGCACCCATTGTTCTTTTTATCCCCAGCAGTCCTGCGTGCCTGTCCCCCACAACCTTTCCGAATAGGCTCCTCGAACACTCTTCCTCACAGGCTTTGATGTCATCATCTTTGATTTCAACTTCGCCTGCTTCTTTAGTTGACAAGGACATATGAGTAAGTTTACGCATAACACCATCCACCCCCTCTCCTGCAGGACCATTGCCCTGAGACTTACCTTCCATACCACTTCCACCCTCTGTTCCCGCCTCCTGGCTTCCAACCCACCAACCCTAAATTACCCAATCCCCGATCTATCACACACAACAACGATTATAAGTCCCGACACCCTCCCCAACAATTTAGAAATAGACCTCTCAGACAAGATCACACCTCTCTCGACGAAAGGGAATTCAGCTCTCACCCGAGAAAATCTTCGCTCTCACCCGAGAGAATATGTTGAACTTATAATTTTCATCATTTATCACACTTATTATTTTTTTTTTTATAAAATATCAGAATTATTTTAGTCAAATTGTTATATTCAATTTAAATACTAAAATTTGGACTTTATAAATTTATTGATAGGACCGCATTGGTGAAGAAGAGGTGTCAACACCTGTGAAGTCTCTCAAAGTTCAAGAGAAGGTCGGAGAGATTAATGGACTCACTTGAAGATGAGGTAGGATTTGCTACTCAATCAGCCACTGCAGACAAGGGCAAAGCAAAAGTGACCGAGCAAGATGATGAAATGAAGGACAACTTTAGTGAAGAATTGAGTGGCTAGGATATTGTTAGTTGAATCAAGTATTTTATTATTATATTAGGATTTCATGTGCTTTGAGTACTTTGATTGAATAAGTTGACATTGCCAACATGAGTAATTTAGGATTTATTATTGAAATTCAGTTTAGGATTTACTATTGGAATTCAGTTTGTTTGATTTTAGCATCAGAAGTTGTTATTGGTTATTAATGATATTGATTATTACGTTATTAGTGTTCAGTATTTTTTTTTTAAGTTGAAGTACTTGCATTAATAGAGTATATAACAGTATAAACCAAAATAATTGAAATCTACACTTAAATGAAAATACTGGAATAAAAATTCAACCACGTTATCTATCATTATATAAAAAGAATAACCTTTTTACAAATTTAGAAACTTTTTCCCGCCAAAATCATTAAATATATCCTACATATAGTAATTGTTGGACAAATCTGAATAGGCAAAGGAATCGGCTCATTAATTGTGTAAAGATTTGTTTCTCTTTTTTCTGTTTTTTAGTTTATCAAAACCGTTGTTTGCCAATAAATATTTGTTTTTATTTTTCCTATTTTTAGTATAAATCTACACGAGCTTATCTCTTCTGTTACGAAATCGCATTGCATACGTGTTTAAGAAATCTCATCCCTTATCTATACGGATTTGAAAAAATAAAATAAAATGGAAACCAATTCATAATTACTACTAGAAATCCATTATCTTTAAAAAGAAAAAAATAAAATAAAATGGAAACCAATTCATAATTACTACTAGAAATTCATTATCTACTTTAAGAAGCTAATTTTCATCGGTCTAATTACTAATATTTTTACAAATATTATAAGCTAACCATACAAAAAAGTATAATAATAATTTTGAAATGGTGTGTAATCAAATTTTTTTATATTCTCTTATACAAAATAATTTTATATTGTTTGATCCCGAATCTTTAATTTATAATTATTGAGTATTGTTTATCCTCCTCTTTAATTTATAATTTATTTTTTTTCTTCCTCTTTTTAAATAGGATCAATAGTAGTTTCCACTTTCGCCATTGAGTGACTCAAACTCGAGGTCTATTTATAATATTGTTAATTTAATATTGTTCTCGTGCATCGCACGGGGTACACACTAGTTTATTTGAAGAGTTTAGTAAGAAGCATACTAAAGGAATAAAAATATATAAGCACCGCATCCAAACATTCCAACAAATAGTATAAACCAAAGTAATTGAAAATAATGGAATAAAAATATAACCACAGCTATTTAATTGAAGAGTTTAGTAAGAAGCATACTAAAGGAATAAAAATATATAAGCACCGCATCCAATCATTTCAACAATTATCATTCAATAACATAAACAATTATATCATGCAAATTAATTCCAAATACAAATTGCAACTCGGATATGCAGTTATTTAAGTCATTCAAACAATTAAGATACGAAAACAAAACAACATTCACCATTAATTTTTTTTTTTTTTNGATGAATAAAAAATGACATTATTCAAACAATAATAAAACTTAAATATCAACTATCAAGTTGTTATCTTCTACAAATCCTAAATGCATATAACGTGTTCAAAACATAAGTATATATTATATCATGTTACTAACAAACTACCAATTCGTAGTTATCCAAATAGATAGACTACTAACACGTGATAAATAAGGTTATATCTTTTAACTAGATAAGGAACATGAAATAAAAATAACAGATAGAATACTAATACGTGATAACAACAACTATATCTTTTACCTAGATAAGGGGAATGAAATCTTAATTCATCTAAAACACCTAAAATATAGATATTTAATATATTCATTCCAACACATCACCTACTCTCCTGCACGGCAAACATTCGCAGGTCATGTAATTTTTTTTATACAAATTTCCCTTCGGTTTTGTTTTTTTTTCCATCATTTCATATAGATAGATATATCTAATCTGTGCATGAATTTTTTATATGCAGACTGTTGCGATGTTGATTTCGTAGAAAAACAGTCAAGACACACAATTGGTGAAAGCATCAATATAAGCATTCAAGTTATGAAGAACACATATGTTGAGTGCAGCAAAGACGCAGAAGCTGTTCACAAAACAATAACAAAACATACAATGATCGAGAACAAAAAAGGTACATATCAAAATTTACCTTTTCTTACCTACTTGATTGTAGCAAAACTGTGAGCTTTTAAGGTTAATGCTATCTGCCCTCACCATGCTCAGATATGGAAATCATAAAAGAAAAAAAAAAATTGAAGTTAGAGGTTTGAGTATAGAGTTACATGACTTATATTTGTCAAGTATTGCTGTAAATAGAGTACATTTTTACAGCAATCAGCTTGAATGTTATTGACATATTTCTCCTTGCATATGCAATGCTCCAAATCAATGCAACAAAAAAAATAATAAAAAATTACAATCATATTATTGATAGAATATGAACTTCTTAATAAAACAATATAAAATATATCAAATATACTTACAACTTACTTTTGTAATTTACAGCAATTCAATCCTCCTGTTAATCACCTTTGACATCCCAGTTTGTAAACCAATATTTATGCTCCAGCATACATTAAGACAATATTAGTTAGAGAATAACAATGGCATGATCATAAAACTTTAGCTTATCCTTCTAGAGTAACAACATTTACATAATATTAGCACAATAGACAGTCAATGCATCTATAACAAGCAGTATTGAAACACATGGTAACCATATTGCAATTGATACTACTGTTTAAAACTAACATCTTAGTTAATATAAAAAAACAAAGTAATTCAAGGAACAACCAATAACCATGTAAACACAACAAGTATATCATAATATTTTCATTATTATAGTATGTACAGATTAATGTTTATTAACTGTTTACTCAACTAACAAAAGCTACAAGAAGACCGAGGTTGTTTAAAAACTTGAATATGTTTCATAAAGAACATTAGCCTTTCAATTGAACTTACACAACAATAACAATAAGGTTTAACCTGGGATGAGTAAACGTATTATCAAAGACTATAGTATATATATCTACAGCATAATGGAACGTAAAGCATCTCAGCACTTAGAATATGTCACCAAAAGGTTTTACATAGAAAACAAAAATGTTGTCAAAGATTGTAGTATATACATGTACAACATAATCATTCATAAAACAATTCAGCAGTTAGAAACAATGATGATATTGTTTGAACGACAACAATAGGAAAATCAACACACAGGATTATGAACTATAACTAAATGTGAGGAAGTAATCCTTACCTTAATAATTTCTGGGGAGCTGCAACGTGTGACAACAGATTGTATTTCAAAATTAACAGAATTTCAAAACTAACACAATAAATCGAAAAAAACTTAAAAAACATAAATCACACTAAATATTAAGACATTGTAAACGAATGACTTCCTTTCCAGTTTCGACTTCAAATCGAATAAATCGACCAGATCCGTATATAAAACATGGTGAATTTTCTCAGATTTTCATTTCTTTCTTCAAAATCGAGCTCAGATCCTAAAATAAATAATAATAACGAATTACTTCATTTCCGGTTTCATATTTTTCGACTTCAAATCGAAATAATCGACCAGATCCGTATATAACACATTATGAATTTTGTCGGATTTTCATGGTTTCTTCGAAATCGAGCTCAGATCCTAAAATAAATAATAATAACAATTACGTCCTTTCCGGTTTCATATTTTTTGACTTCAAATCGAAAAAATCGACCAGATCCGTAAATAAAACATGATGAATTTTCGACAAATCTTTTGTTTTTCTTCCAAATCGAGCTCAGATCCAACAAAATAAATAATATTAGCAAAAGCATATAACTTTTTTTTTTTAAAAAAAAAACCCCGAAACAGATCTATGTGTTAAAAACAAACTATGATGTAGCAGTTTGAACCATATTTCTAAACATAAACATACGAATTACAGTATATGTAATCGATTTGTTTAGATTATATGTTCAAAATCTGCAGAAAAAAAAAGAGGAACAAAACGAAATAAAACCGACAGAAATGAGGAGATAAAGAGGAGAGAAACGCGTGTCGGGAAAAACAAAAAATGAAGTGAAACCCTACATTATCGGATATGTTTAGCCTTTTATAGTTGCCAACTTTGCTTGATGTCCGTTAGATCGATCCAAAAAAACCGAGGCCGTTCGATCTTTCTTTACTTTGTACAGCCAATTAACACGTGTACGGGAGTTGGGCCAAGAATGTCTCAATGAGTAATATGGAATTGGTTTGTTAAATTTTAGGCCTAATTCCAATTTATCACAACACATGTTTTTTTGGGCTAAGAAAAATTATATTCATGGGCTTAGTATATATGTTATGAAAAATAGTACCTTATATATTTTACATTCAATTAAACATAATTTTTTTATAGTCAATAAAACTTATTATTATTATTTTTATTTTTATTATTATTATTATTATTAGAAAGAATCCCATGCGATGCACTGTTGTTTCCTACCTTAGAACATTTTTTCAAAACTTTATTTTAACAATATGATAACTCGCTGACCCGTTTATATTAATATAAATATAAATAATTTTAAAATATATATTTATTTTTTGGACAGAAAAAATAATAATTTTACATATATTATTTCATCATAATATTCAAATATTATTTTATTCAAAATTTTATTGTCGTATAATTTCATTATTATTTATAGCACTTATAGAAGTAATATTCCATTTTTTTATATAATGATAAAGATTGAATGTATATTAGTATTACTTATTAATGTAATTAATTTAAAATTTATAAGAAAATTTACTATTTGTTAGTAATGTAAGTTAAGATAAAATGGAATATACCCAAAAAGAATTGATTATGATATTTTTCTTTTATTATAGATAATATAAACACATTTCCCCGGATTGGATCATCTTTTACTGTCCTGAAAAAAAAAATGGAATTGATGTGTCGTCCGATGTAACGAATGGTATGTATTTCAATTATGTAAATTATTACTTTACCATCTATATAAAAAAAGAGTTGGTTTAAAAATTTAATTAATTTCATATATATGTTGTAACTAATTTTTGTAACAGGTGAACATAATGGTCATTGATCTGCATTTCATGTTGGTGGTAATAATGCACCAAAAAACATTGTTATCGATCTCATAGGTGAAGACGACCTTGAAATGAATATTGTAACTTCTTCAACTACCATGACCCCTGTCCTTAAAACTTTCACTAATTATGAAGACATACAGTCACTTACACAGAAACAAAAACGTGGTCGTCCTAGAAAAACACCGTTAATAATGTCAGATTTATCTGGTGAGTTTAATTGATTTTATATATAATTAATAATATAGACAGTATCTGGTTATATATATGTTTTATACTATTTACATATTTGAAATTTTGTTTTCCATTTCATGTGTTATATAGAGTTGTAAGAATTATTTATGTACAGGTTCAAACCTAAAGAACGCGCAAGGACGTAATTTAAACACACAATGACCTTGCAATATGGTGATTAATTTACGTTAATTTCCGCTCTTTGACATAACAAATGGTAAGTAGTTATAATAAAAATGCAACGAATTATTACTTTTTGAAAAATATATTTGTTTTTTATATTTTTCATATTAAAAACATATAATATACCAAAAATACTGCCTGACATGGATAATTTTATAAAGTGTTGCAGGACAAAACAGGGTTTTTGAGCACGTCTAATGCTTCAATTGGTATATTCATAAATTTTGATCTTTAGCCTCTTCTATTTAAAATATCTATTGTTATACATTTTAATATGTGAATAAATATAAAATTAATTAAATGTGTTATACTCTTTATTTTTTTCAGCAAGCAAGCGTAAGCGTTGTATATTACCCACCCATAATCCCAGTAGTAGTGCAACCAATAGCAACCTTATAGACCTCACAAGTGATGACGAGCACATTAACAACGAGACGAGGTCTCCAACTATAACTGCAAGCGAAGTGGTTCATCTCACACATGATACTCCCAATCAACCAACTACAGTAAAACGGAAACGTGGACATCCTAGGAAAACAACAGTAACATCGTCGGTGGTATATGGTAAGTTTTAATATGTACTTCTGATATAAAAAATAAATTTATGCAACAAAATAATTTTATCTCATATATTGTACTTGAATAAACATTTGCAGAATACTGGGACATGGGAGATGCAAGTTTTCGTTGTATGTATTGTGGTTCAATGTTTTGGTATGAGAAGAGGAAAGCTTGTTATCAAAACGCAGTTGTCCCTGAGTACACCAGTTGTTGCATTAATGGCAAAATTCAGCTCCCTTCTTTGCGAAATCCTCCCCAATTTTTAAAAGATTTACTTCATGGAAGTGGCGAGTTGAGCAAACATTTTCAAGAGAACATACTTTCTTACAATAGCATGTTCGGTTTTACATCTTTGGGGGGGAAGATTGATTCAGATATCAATAAGGGACCTGCCCACCAGTGTTTTCTTTGCATGGACAGAATTATCATCTTATCGGTAGTTTGCTTCCTTCAGAAGGTGCATGTCCGAAGTTCACACAATTATATATATATGATACGGAGAATGAAGTTTCAAACAGAATGAATGCTGTGAGGTTTAAATTCACTCTACTTGATATTCAATATTTTTTAAGGTTTTTTTCTTTCTAAATTTTTTTATTCATATATACTGTTCAATATTTTATCTCAAACATATAATGATAATTGTTATTAATTTTCTTGCAGAAACGGATCTGGGAATAATAATTTGCATGAGTAAATAGTTGTTGGGTTGAAACAAATGTTGGATCAACACAACGAACTGGTGAAATCATTTCGTATGGCTAGGGATAGAATGCAGGAGCATGGCGAATCAAATGTTCGAGTGCGTTTGATTGGTCGGAGATATAAAGATGCCAGACGATATAATTTGCCTACAAGTTCAAAAGTTGCTGTATTGGTTGTTGGCGATTTTGACCTGACAATGGGTGAAAGAGACATATTGGTCGAAACTAGGAACGGTCATCTTCAACGGATAAATGAACTTAATGCTTCATATTTTACAGTACAATATCCTCTTTTGTTGCCTTATGGTGAGAATGGGTATCGAGATGACATACCGTTTAGGGAAGGCACAAAGGTAAAACAAGGTGGTCGGAAATATGTTAGTGTACGAGAGTACTTTGCATATAGAATGCACGATCGAGAACATGAAGCACCGACTATTGTTACATCTAGAAGATTGTATCAACAGTTTACTGTCGATGCTTATACCGTGGTTGAATCTGCGAGGTTGCAGTATATACGTCTCAATCAGAAGAAGCTCCGTTGTGATTTGTACAAAGGTGTGGCTGAGGCCGTTCTCCGTGGTGACACTGATCCAAGAACCGTCGGAAAAAGAATAATTCTTCTCTCAAGCTTCATTGGTGGTGCTCGCAATATTATTGAAAACTATCAAGATGTAGTGGCAATTTGTAGATGGGCTGGGTACCCTGATTTGTTTATTACACTAACGTGTAACCCCAAATGGCCAGAAATATTGCGTTATCTCGAGCTGAAAAATTTGAGACCTGAGGATCGACCAGATATCGTCTGTAGGGTCTTTCGAGCAAAACTTAAGGAATTGGTTAGGGATTTTTGTCAAAAGGAAATATTTGGGAAGGTTATAGCAGGTGAGCCATTTGATAATGTATATAATGATGACAACATATTTATTAATCATTTACAAAAAAAATACATTTAACACTTATCTATTTTGAATAATAATATTAACTACAATTTAAAAAAAAATACATTTAACATTTATTTATTTTGAATAATAATATTAACTACAATTTTATATTGCAGTTATATACACGATCGAGTTTAAAAAACGTGGTTCACCTCACGCTCATATACTGCTCTTCCTTGCTAAAGAGGCCAAATTTCCCGACCCATCGGACATAGATAAAATCATCTCTGCAGATATACCAGATCAATCGTCCGATCCTGTATATTACGAGGCAGTAAAGGAGCATGTGATCCACGGACCGTGTGGCCTGGTAAACAAAAACTCGCCCTGTATGGTGGATGGCAAATGTACTAAAAAATTTCCAAAGAAGTTCGTTGAGTCCACAACTATTGACGAAGATGGTTATCCACGGTATAGACGTCGTGACAATGGAACATCTCTTGAAAAGAATGGCATTGTTGTTCACAATGGATATGTCGTGCCTTATAATTGCCGTCTGCTTATGAAGTTTGGAGCGCATACTAATGTTGAGTGGTGCAATCAATCACGATCTATAAAATATCTATTCAAATATGTCAACAAGGGTAATGATCGTGTGACTGCATCATTCTATCAAACGTCTGCAGAAGGGGATATTGAAAGACCGTTGGATGAGATAAAAATGTATTACGATTGTCAGTACATATCTTCGTGTTAGGCGGCATGGCGGTTGTTGGGTTTTGAGTTGCAGTACAAAAAGCCTCCCGTCCAGCGTTTGAACTTCCACTTATTTGGAGAACAGAACCTTTTATTTGACGAAGATGATGTTCTTGAAAATGTTATCAAT